GTCAAGACAGCTAGCTCAATGCTGACCACATCCCCCAATGAGTGCTAGGTACAGTCCTCAGAAGTCAAGACAGCTAGCTCAATGCTGACCACATCCCCCAATGAGTGCTAGGTACAGTCCTCAGAAGTCAAGACAGCTAGCTCAATGCTGACCACATCCCCCATTGAGTGCTAGGTACGGTCCTCAGAAGTCAAGACAGCTAGCTCAATGCTGACCACATCCCCCAATGAGTGCTAGGTACAGTCCTCAGAAGTCAAGACAGCTAGCTCAATGCTGACTACATCCCCCAATGAGTGCCAGGTACAGTCCTCAGAAGTCAAGACAGCTAGCTCAATGCTGACCACATCCCCCATTGAGTGCTAGGTACGGTCCTCAGAAGTCAAAACAGCTAGCTCAATGCTGACCACATCCCCCATTGAGTGCTAGGTAGTCCTCAGAAGTCAAGACAGCTAGCTCAATGCTGACCACATCCCCCAATGAGTGCTAGGTACAGTCCTCAGAACTCAAGACAGCTAGCTCAATGCTGACCACATGCCCCATTGAGTGCCAGGTACAGTCCTCAGAAGTCAATACAGCTAGCTCAATGCTGACCACATCCCCCAATGAGTGTTAAGTACAGTCCTCAGGAGTCAAGACAGCTAGCTCAATGCTGACCACATGCCCCATTGAGTGCCAGGTACAGTCCTCAGAAGTCAAGACAGCTAGCTCAATGCTGACCACATCCCCTAATGAGTGCTAGGTACAGTCCTCAGAAGTCAAGACAGCTAGCTCAATGCTGACTACATCCCCTATTGAGTGCTGACTGGTCTATCCAATGTAGGTCTAGTCCTATTTGCTCACTACGCCTGAAGGTGTGGAAAACAGGTTTTGTAATTGTCACTGTGACACCAGACATTAGCATCATCATGTGAAGGACATTGTGTGCCATGTCCACTGCCACAGGAACCGGACGACCTGTCGGCAGTGATGCTGGAACCAACCAACCAGATGCTGGACTACTGGTATGTATCAGGGCTGACAAAGAAACAGAATGTCCACAGCTTCAAGTGGTGGTAATAGAAATGGGTATCAACAAAGCTTGGCCAACTAGCATACAGGACAGACACACCCAGAGCTAAATGAGCCATGCTGAAACCAGAGATGTGGTCACAAGTGACATATGCTGTAAATGAAGCAACTCTTTTCAGGAAACAAAGAAGGAAAAACAGAAACCAATGAAATTATGAGAGACTCATTTATATACAAAAAGGAGAGACTGATCACCTACAGTCAGCACAGAAGTGGGGAACACACAACCCCAAAAGATCAGCAAATATAACTACCTGCATGTTCCTGGTAGTTACAAACAAGTCTAGGCCACACGGCAAGGATAGAATTTGTTACATTAAATAAGAAAATAAATATGTTACAAGGTGTCATTAAGATAAACTTTACACTAACTGTTACAACAGGATGCTTAAATATTTACAAACGTCTCAGCTCAATGTAAAATCTGAGACTGTAAAACGTTTCACAGCTGTAAACTCCGAGCTCCGGACTGGAGTCTGCAAACTCAATGATAATAATAATACTGAGGTCAGTTGTAACTTTAAAGGTTGTGTCTGTGAATAAAGTGTCAATGTACTTTCATAACAGCTACTTGGAAACAAAGAAATAAAGGTATGCCACTATGAACAGTGACGTACAGCCATACATTAAGAGACTCAGTTCTTGGTGTTATGAAACAACCCTCTAGGCATGCCCACAGATGCTTCCCCTCCCTCAGCAAATCTCACAGGCAGTAGATGCTGATGCTTCTAGCAACATAATACCTCCCCTCTCCCCAAATATATCATTTCTGTCAAATATGTCTTTTGGAAAGCAACTACTACTTTAGAGAAACTGCACATGTACAAGTCAAAACTGTAATGTTACCACTCCACATGATCCAAGTACTGGAGGAGAACTGCTAATGAGCAATCAAACCCAAGGCTGCAAGCCCAAATGATCAGACAACTCTAGAGTGCAGCCAGGCACACCAAGACTCCAGCCATGTTTAGCAGTTGTTGCAGAAACTGACTATATGCTCAAGCTGTACCAGCCACCAAACTATGCCCCTACTTATTCTTACTCAACATCCTATGCCTGTCACACTTCTCGCTCACAGTCTACTATATTTATCCTGTCACACCTCTCGTTCACACACAGTCTACTCTATCTATCCTGTCACACCTCTTGCTCACACACAGTCTACTCTATTTATCCTGTCACATCTCTCGCCCACACACAGTCTACTCTATTTATCCTGTCACATCTCTCGCTCAACCACAGTCACTCTATCCTGTCACATCTCTTGCTCACACACAGTCTACTCTATCTATCCTGTCACATCTCTTGCTCACACACAGTCTACTCTATCTATCCTGTCACATCTCTTGCTCACACACAGTCTACTCTATCCTGTCACATCTCTCGCTCACACACAGTCTACTCTATCTATCCTGTCACATCTCTTGCTCACACACAGTCTACTCTATCCATCCTGTCACATCTCTTGCTCACACACAGTCTACTCTATCTATCCTGTCACATCTCTTGCTCACACACAGTCTACTCTATCTATCCTGTCACATCTCTTGCTCACGCACAGTCTACTCTATCTATCCTGTCACATCTCTTGCTGACAAACAGTCTATCTATCCCAGATGATGCCAGTCTTGTTCACACAATGCAATGGTTTTTAAAGTTATTACTGTTTCCCCTGGTTGTCTTCTTGATCTTCTACTCTCAACTGGCAATGTGTATGCTTTCCTTGTCTTGCTGTTCGGATAAATTTATCCAATGCACTCAAACCATCCTTATCTCATCAGGCTAAAGAATGATGGTCATTTATATATGTGCACTGGTGTTTGTCTTTATACAGGGCTGTTCAATGTATCAGGTCCTACAGCACCAAACAGTTTCTATTTTGTACGAACAAAAGAAATACTTTAATTTTTCTTCAAGTTCACCAGTTGTTAACTCTGGCGGAAAGGTCTGGTTGTTCATTCACCTTCGGACTCCAGTCCTGTTCCAGAACCTGAGTGTTGCGTGTGCATCAATTTTACAGATCTGACTCATTTGTATGCAGACAGCTTGTTCCTTGCCTCTCAGGGAGAGGCACTCTGACTTCGAAGGAAGCTCCTAATTAGTTGACTATTACGACATGCTTTTGGGTAGGCAGTTTTCCCTAATAGAGCCCCGGAACCCACACGGGAAACTTTAATTCTAAAATGGTGCAAAAGTAAGTACATACATTTTAAGCAGATTAAAGAGTTTTAATAATTCACTCTTAGTGTCATCAGATCCTTCCAAGCATTCTGCACTTTCTCCGGAAGCTTTCCAAGTTGTGTACTTCAACACCTAACATGAGATTCGCTACATCATTGTAGTCAGGTGTGTGGATGTGGTAGTTAAGGGGAAACTACATCAATCACTTCCCAAGCATATAGTTCCAAAATCATGCTGGTAATGATATAACATAAGATGTTCAAACAACTTCACACCAGCCATGGGACACCAGAACCTACTACTGCATGACCAGCTTGGACATTATAAACCCCATGAGTGAGTTTGCTTTCTGCATCTGGGCAACTATTCAGTCACAATCACAGAGAATGAGTGAAGCTCCCCCAGAAGCATGTGACCACAACTCTAGCTGGTTGATTTTTAGAGGTCTATAAAAAAATCTCTAAACTGTGAGGGCAGCTCCTTGCGCATGGACACATGACCCTAACCAAACTAGTCATCTTCAGGACCTACTTTATAGCAAGGCATTCCTGATGTGTTCAGGTCACTTCATAACCATATAGTTTTTCTGGAGGCAACAGATGTTTTTTTAGTCGTGTATGGTCATTTATTGAAGCAAGGCCTGCGTGGTAAGACATGAAGTAGTTCTACAGAGTTTTGTTCTGCAGGAATTTGCCCATATCTGCAGCATTGTTAGATTCAAACAACTGTTACAATCATGAAGTTAAGCTAATGATTCTTATATCTGTCATCTGTTCTAAGACTCAAAAAAAAATATATAAAAAACAGGCTGTATATATGGCAAACACTACAATATGTGTGTGCAATTAACTAACAATAATGGCATGTGACTTTGTTTTTTGTTTTGTTTAACCACTTGTGACTGTGCATTAAAATACAAGAATTAAAAAAAACATCAATGTAAGTAAAATACAGATCAAAGATAACAAAACTTCTTGCTCCAAAGTAAAACCACTTAGGATGTGACAGTCTCAGCAGTCAAAACTGTGAAGTTTTGTCCATTGCCGAAAAGCCTGTCCTCCACATAAGTCACAAAGGAAATGGTTCAGTGGGCTTGCCTGAAAGAACAGAGATCTGGGATTGTAGTTTAACTTACCTACATACAGCACACATGTACACACACACACACACTGTAATTATATATATATATATATATATATATATATATATATATATATATATATATATATATATATATATATATATATATATATATATATATATATATATATATATATATATATATATATATATATATATAAATATACACACACACACTAGAATCAATGCTATAAATATATTAGTTTGGACTGCTTTCATAATTCTCAAATGTAAGCTGTGCAGTAGTCTATTTGACCTGCCTTTTCCAATTTACGGGTGTGCTTTTTTTTTTACATATGGAACTGACAAATGGGTCCACAGATTGTTTCCCTTTGTCAAGGTAATCTCGAGCCTTTAAACCTTTGTCCCAGTAATCTCGAGCACTGAAACCTTTGTCCAGGCAATCTTGAGAGCACTTAAACCTTTGTCCCAGTAATCTTGAGCACTTAAACCATAAACACAAGATATCCAACAGATAAACATACATATTTAATATTAAAAACAGGACACTAAACATGTAAACAGGTGTACTCAAAATAAAAAGAACAGTCAAACAGCACAGGACGTACTTGAAGTGAACAGCAGGCACCAGAGAGCGCTGCTAGCTGCGCCTACATGCGGTTCCAGCGGGCAATATGCTGGTGGCAGTTGGGGCACGTGTGGACTACATCCTGGCAACTCTCCACACAGAACGGAATGAGACAGCAGCCAAGATCACACCTGCAAATGTTCACCAAGTCAGAAAATGTAGACTAAAGTTTCAACCATACTTTTACTTAATCTTGCAATCAATCTTCCTTTTTACAGCTTGTTAAAGGAAAGGTTCTGAATAAAACAAAGAAACTATATTATCAAAAGATGTAGAAGCACATGCAGGTGCCTTCTGAAATTTCTTCTTCTTCTTCTGTCTTTTATTCCCCAATATTGTTCACCCGCTGTAAACTCTGGTGGAAAGTTCTGGTTGTTCATCCATTTCTGGACTCTGGCTTTGTTCTAGGACCTTAGTTTTGCCTGTGCATCTGGCTTTGTTCTAGGACCTTAGTTTTGCGTGTGCATCTGGCTTTGTTCTAGGACCTTAGTTTTGCGTGTGCATCTGGCTTTGTTCTAGGACCTTAGTTTTGCGTGTGCATCCATTTTACTGATCTTGCTTATTTGTAAGCAGAGTTACTTTGAATGAAGCTCCCATTTAGCTGACTGTTACAACATGCTTGTTGGGTCTATTCTTGTTTTGCCCAAAAAAAGGGACCCCAGATCCCACACTGGGATATCCCCTTAGTGAAACTGTCTGAACGAAGGCCTCTCCTTCACCATCGCATGCAGCTCACCCTAAGACCTGCCTGAAGACCTCCCTGCTCACCTTAAAACCTGCCTGAAGACCTCCCTGTCTGTTTTAATTTCCCTCTCTAGCTCCCTTCTCCATGTTCTGTCTTTATTTCTATTCTATGCCCCTGTCTTCCATCCAATGCCAGGATCTTCCCCCCCCCCCCTCCCGCCCCCCATCTCTTAACTCATCAGAAGTTGCTCAGTTCTCTAACAAAGCTTTTAGTGACTAGTGATTCTATCACACCATTTAATTCTATCTATTCTAACTGGCCACCAGTTAATGCAAGTCTGTAGTTTATTAGTAACTGTGTTAGTTATTCTCCATGTTTCAGTTCCATACAGCAACATTAACTGACATTATTATTAAGTTTAGTACTAGTTTTAATTCCTGTGACTTCTAAACATTTACTAGTGCTGTGAAAATTCCTCATCTTCTCAAAGGTTGGTTTTTGTGGCCATCGTTTGTACAGGATGGGGTAGCTAACCCGTAAGTCCAACCCTACTTTCAGTCATGTCTTACAAAATGAGCGGCTGATATTTAACCCTTTTTATGCATCTCTTGTTTTACCACCTGAACCACTACCATCATTTACAAGCTGTTTCTTCTTTTTCTTCATTACATTTTTTACCCCTTTGTTGAGGGTGACGCAAGATTCTGCTTCCTACTCTTCTGGCCGCCTCTACCATATACCATCAGGCCACTGTAGAGTTCCGCTGATGTTATCTTTCCACCTTGTTCTTGGTCTACCTTGTTCTTGAAATCCTCCACTACTTTTGGTGTATGCCGTCCCATGGCCTTCTCTTTGATTTGCTTTGTGTTTAGTTTAGAATTATGAGCCGACTTTTTCTCTGATGACTCAATTCTTGATTTTATCTCTTCTGGTCACCCCTGCAGCCATTCTCAGACATCTCATTTATATGATTACTGATTTACAAACCAGTTACTCAACAAATAAGGAGCAACTTTACTTACAAAACAATCAGCATGCCCTAGTGAAAACCAAGCCACACACACACACACACAAAAAAAGACCACTAACGCAACCAAGCATATAACTATATAAACCACTTACTCAACCAAATAGATAACTACAGAAACAATTTACTCAACCAAAAAAACAACCTGAGAAACAATTTACTCAACCGAATGGATAACTATACACACCACTCCCTTAACCAAATGGATAACTATAGAGACTACTAACCCAACTAAGTAGAAAATTGTAAGACCACCTACCCAACCAGGCAGAGGACTGTAAGTAAGAAAACCTACCCAAACAAGCAGAGGACTGTAAATAAGAAAACCTACCCAAACAAGCAGAGGACTATAAGTAAGACAACCTACCCAACCAACAGAGGACTGTAAGTAAGAAAACCTACCCAAACAAGCAGAGGACTGTAAGTTAGACCACCTACCCAACCAAGCAGGGGGCTGTAAGTAAGATCACCTATTCAAACAAGCAGAGGACTGTAAATAAAAAAACCTACCCAAACAAGCAAAGGACTGTAAATAAGAAAACCTACCCAAACAAGCAGAGGACTGTAAATAAGATAACCTACCCAAACAAGCAAAGGACTGTAAATAAGAAAACCTACCCAAACAAGCAGAGGACTGTAAGTAAGACCACCTACCCAACCAAGTAGAGGACTGTAAGACCACCTACCCAACCAAGCAGAGGACTGTAAGTAAGACCACCTACCCAACCAAGTAGAGGACTGTAAGACCACCTACCCAACCAAGCAGAGGACTGTAAGTAAGACCACCTACCCAACCATGCAGAGGACTGTAAGACCACCTATCCAACCAAGCAGAGGACTGTAAGACCACCTACCCAAACAAGCAGAGGACTGTAAGTAAGAAAACCTACCCAACCAAGCAGAGGACTGTAAGACCACCTACCCAACCAAGCAAAGGACTGTAAGTAAGACCACCTTCCCAACCAAGCAAAGGACTGTAAGTAAGACCATCTACCCAACCAAGCAGAGGACCTTAAGTAAGACCACCTACCCAACCAAGCAAAGGACTGTGAGTAAGACAACCTACCCAATCAAGCAAAGGACTGTAAGTAAGACCACCTACCCAACCAAGCAAAGGACTATAAGTAAGACCACCTACCCAACCAAGCAAAGGACTGTAAGTAAGACCACCTACCCAACCAAGCAAAGGACTGTGAGTAAGACCACCTACCCAATCAAGCAAAGGACTGTAAGTAAGACCACCTACCCAACCAAGCAAAGGACTATAAGTAAGACCACCTACCCAACCAAGCAAAGGACTGTAAGTAAGACCACCTACCCAACCAAGCAAAGGACTGTAAGTAAGACCGCCTACCCAACCAAGCAAAGGACTGTAAGTAAGAAAACCTGCCCAAACAAACAGAGGACTGTGAGTAAGACCACCTACCCAACCAAACAGAGGACTGTAAGTAAGACCACCTACCCAACCAAGCAGAGGACCACACACACTACCCAGGAGAAGGTCCCACTCTCAAAATGTGTGGCTGTGATGACGTCTGCTTTGCAGTGAGGACAGCTGGTGCGAACAGGAACAGATCCGAACGTCCGTACCAGCATCACAGGAGGCTGAGTAACCACCACTGTCGTGTTCTGATGTCCAGCTTGTGCATAGCCCTGAGGTTGGGGGTAACCGGCTTGTTGAGGGTAACCGGCTTGATGAGGGTAACCAGCCTGCTGAGGGTAACCGGCTTGTTGAGGGTACCCAGCTTGTTGAGGGTAACCAGCCTGAGGTGGTGGATAGCCTGGCTGTGTAGGATAGTTAGCTTGTGGCTGGGGGTAACCAGGTTCAGGTGGTTGTGGGGCACCATAACCATATGGTTGACTACCTGTGTGCAGAAAACAATAAGTAAACAAATAAATAAAATGTAGCAATAAGCTGACACAGACAGAAACATGAGGAAGGTCTTCTTCTTTGCATTCACTGGTCATAAACTGCAGCAGAAAGTTCTGGCTGCTCATACTTTTATGGACTTGCCTTGCTCAAGAACCTGAGTTTTGCCCTCATATCTACTTTACAGATCTGCCTTATGTATATGCTGACCTTTGGTTTCATTCGTCTCAAGCAGACGTACTCTGACTGTGTTAGTTTGACGGTAGAATAATTAAAGTGTTAGTGGGCAGCGTCACCTTTATGTTATATATAGACAGTCCAGTGTGTTTAGTGATGGTTGTTTTCATGCAGGTACTTAGGGGTGTCTTAGCGAGGTGGTTCGCAAAGAAAGAGTTGACAGTGAATAAGAAGAAAAGGATGATGCCGTGACAATGGTACCCAGGTGACTCAAGCAGACGTACTCTGACTGTAAAGGAAACACTCTTTATTAGTTCCCTTTGACAACATGCCTGCTAGGGTGTCTATTCTTGTTTCCCCCAAAATGGGACCCCGGATCCCATTATGGGGAATCATATCAGATCTGATTCTTAGGGGATTTCTTTCAGTTGCTGAAATAATTCTAACTGTTCAAGGGTTAAGGTGACTATCAAAAATCTCTCCTGCAGAAAGTGTTTCAAGCAACTGTAAGCTTTCTCCTCTATTCTAGGATAATGAGGTAACAAGAGGTATCTTCAGGTAGCCTCACAAAGGTGCTTTGTGGAGAATGGTTTAGGTTTGCTGTTTCTCAGAGGCAGATCAATACCGTAAGTGAGGAGCATTTTAGAGGCAGGGATTCTAAGCCATTGGATTGTCATTCCTGCCACTGTAGCTTCTATGTTCCGAAACACCTCGGCTGATCATGCTCTACCCTGATCAGCAAAGACTGATTGTCAGGGGCCTATGTGGCCGAGACTCTGACAATGACTATGTTACAGAGGATTAAAGACTACAGGATTGACGAGGGTTTGACTGATCCAACCGTGAGCAGCTGGCTAGATAAATCAGAGTGAACGGTTTTAGGGGAGTTGCACAGAGACCCGGACTGGACCAAGACACGCTGTATTTTGACTGCAAGGCCAAAACGCGTTGTATTTTGACTGCCAAGTTTTTTTGTAAGTGATTTAAGTTAGTGATGCCTGATAATAGAATGTTTCGTGTCAAACGTGTTAGTTTGACGGTAGAATAATTAAAGTGTTAGTGGGCAGCGTCACCTTTATGTTATATATAGACAGTCCAGTGTGTTTAGTGATGGTTGTTTTCATGCAGGTACTTAGGGGTGTCTTAGCGAGGTGGTTCGCAAAGAAAGAGTTGACAGTGAATAAGAAGAAAAGGATGATGCCGTGACAATGGTACCCAGGTGACTCAGCGTAGAGACATGGTCTGTGTGATCACACTAACCAGAGCCCTTTAGTAGCACAGTAGTGGCAGTGTAGGCGTACAGGTGTAGGAAAGAGCAAGGATCTGAGGCTGCTGGTTTAGACCTGATTAATGCCTGGAAACAACTGTAAGGCCAATGTTTGAGTGGTGATTTTAAAGCACTCCAGCCAGTTGGGGTAGGGTTCATAACTCAAGCCACCTCTGGGGCGAGCTTTCTACGTCCTTTAGTAATTACATTAAAGGCTGATATGTAAGCTCTGACGGTGTTGTGTCAGTTGTGTTTGAAACAGACACTTCTGTCATGGAGCTGCCAACGAGACATCGCTTTTAAGGCAGTAAGCAGCTCTCTGGAACTGATCTTGGATTAGCTCCTTCTTGCATACTTTAAAAAAAAAAAACCATACTCTTCTTTCCAATGGTCTAATTGGTGGGAAAGTGGGGGGGGGGGGGGGGGGGTACTTAGGGTTATACACATGAAAAACATAGGTGTGTGATGTTTGCAAATGGGGTGTTCTGGGGTTACATTTCATAAAACAAAGATAACTCCAATTCTCCCGAATGACAGTCAAGCATAAATATGGGTCAGAAGACAATATGTTTATAGTGGACAAGAAATATGGTAGAAAACAGCATGAAATATATTCTGCTTTTCAGCTGCCAACAGAGCACAGGCCCTCACCCAACTCACACCAAGATACTTGTTGATGCCTGCTGGAGTGTGTAGCTATGGGTTGCTAGGGGTGTTAGCTTATCTCCCTGTGGTTACAGCTAACAACATTCATGCTTAGTTACAGTGTGACTATTCTCAGCTGCTCTTAAGACTCCTGGAAAACTGAGGAAACTGGATTATGGAACAGATAAGGATACTCACACTGAATAAGATATGGATGACAGATAATTGTCAAGAGCTATATAAATCCTCCCATGATACACAAAAGTGAGTCATGGTTTGTTGGTCGATTGTGTGGAGGTGATACTGATGTGCTTTTATAAACAAATGATGAACACCCAGGATAAATAAAAAGTGTAATGTGTAATAAAGATGTTGTATAAGAAACTGACTCAGCAAGAGACTGAGAAGGATAAAACTGGATACATCATGAAAGTTGGAGGGACAGTGAAAGAGAAGAAGGTGAACAGTCTGAGATCATGATAAAAAAAATCATGAAAAAGAGAAAGAAGAAAGGAGAGAGAGGGACGGGGGGAGACCGAGAGAGAGACAGAGAGATGGGGGAGAGAGAGAGAGAGAGGGAGAGAGAGAGAGAGAGAGGGGGGGGGGGTGGGGGTGTGAAAAAAAAAGACAGATGGGGAGGGGAAGAAATCTATGTTTTGCATACATGTATGTCCTACATTTAAAACACCCCTGATGTATTGACTATATCATGCAATGTTAGAATTTGCAACTGAATTTTTAATGTAAATAAAAGTTGGGAGAAGAATTTAAAGATGGCCTGCGTCAGAACTGATTGAAAGTACAGGAGATAGAAGTCTGTAGCTGGACAAGACTACAGCTGCCACATGGCATGAACAGATGATGACAACACAAGCACTGAATAGATATTGAATATCTTCAGAAGATACTTATAAGGATAACTATGGGTGAATGATATAGGATAACTATGGGTGAATGATACAGGATAACTATGGATGAATGATACAGGATAACTATGGGTGAATGATATAGGATAACTATGGGTGAATGATACAAAATACAAACCTTTAGTGTCCTCCGTGCCTGGGTAGGGAGGTGGTGGACCTGATGCCATTCTATATTTAACATAAAAATACAAAATCAATCAAGCAGAGTTCACGAACAAAAGGTCACACTCATGTATATTCACCTGTTTGTAAAAGGGACATAATTGTATGGCTTAATCATATTTTAAAATTATTATATGTATCAAAATGTTTAACAGTTTTATTTTTTTAAAGCAGCTAGCTTTTGCAATATTTACGCTCTGCTTTAACACAATTGCTGTCATTATTGTCAGAGAAATCATTTTTCTCAGCCTCATTTATCCTTCTTGTTGCTTTTATCACATTTTAGCCAACAATGATCTGTTTGCTATCATCAGCCTTGTTGCCGTAATTATCTGTTTAACCATCTTTACCATCATCAATGTAGCTTGTATATTCCACACGCTTCTTCTGCATGTTCACCAGCTGTTAACTCTGGCATCAAGTTTTGTTGCTCATCCACTTCTGGACTCCAGTCTTGTCCCAGAACTTGAGTGTTGCCAGCAACTGGACGCCAGTCTAGTCCCAAAACTTGAGTGTTGCCAGCAACTGGACTCCAGTCTTGTTCTAGAGCTTAAGTGTTGCCAGCAACTGGACTCCAGTCTTGTCCCAGAACTTGAGTGTTGCCAGCGACTGGATTCGAGTCTAGTCCCAGAACTTGAGTGTTGCCAGCGACTGGACTCCAGTCTAGTCCCAGAACTTGAGTGTTGCCAGCGACTGGACTCCAGTCTTGTCCCAGAACTTGACTGTTGCCAGCAACTGGACTCCAGTCTTGTCCCAGAACTTGAGTGTTGCCAGCACACTCCATCTGACAGATCAGGCTTATTTGTAATGAGACTGTTGGCTCTCTGCCAACAAATCAAAATATATTTGCTACACAGGACATGATGCTATTTTTGTCTCCCACTCCTAAAATTGTCCGTACGGAGAACCAACAAAAAACCTATTGTGACCTATGGGCTGAAAACACATGCCGTAGAGCAAACATTTAGCCGGTGCTACAGGGACTTCAAAGGCATTTCTTTTTCTAGAAAAAATTTGCCAGTACTCACAACAGAGCGTCTAGAAATAAAAACGCTAGTACTCAACATAAAGTCTGTTACTGTAGCGCTGACAAGAAATTATGCCTATAACAAGTGCCGGTACTGTAGCGCTGACAAGAAATTATGCCTATAACAAGTGCCGGTACTGTAGCGCTGACAAGAAATTATGCCTATAAATAGTGCCGGTACTGTAGCGCTGACAAGAAATCATGCCTATAACAAGTGCCGGTACTGTAGCGCTGACAAGAAATTATGCCTATAACAAGTGCCGGTACTGTAGCGCTGACAAGAAATTATGCCTATAACAAGTGCCGGTACTGTAGCCCTGACAAGAAATTATCCCTATATCAAGTGCCGGAACTGTAGCACTGACAAGAAATTATGCCTATAACAAGTGCCAGTATTGTAGTGCTCACAAGAAATTATGCCTATAACAAGTGCCGGTACTGTAGAGCTGACAAGAAATCATGCCTATAACAAGTGCTGGTACTGTAACGCTGACAAGAAATCATGCCTATAACAAGTGCCGGTACTGTAGAGCTGACAAGAAATCATGCCTATAACAAGTGCCAGTACTGTAGAGCTGACAAGAAATCATGCTAATAACAAGTGCCGGTACTGTATAGCTGACAAGAAATCATGCCTATAACAAGTGCTGGTACTGTAGCGCTGACAAGAAATCATGCCTATAACAAGTGCTGGTACTGTAGCGCTGACAAGAAATCATGCCTATAACAAGTGTCAGTACTGTAGTGCTGACAAGAAATTATGCCTATATCAAGTGCCGGTACTGTAGCGCTGACAAGAAATCATGCCTATAACAAGTGCCGGGACTGTGGCACTGACAAGAAATCTTGTTGCTAACAAGTGCCGGCATTGAATATTGTTGCATACTACCATTAAAAAAAACAACTGGGGACTCCTATATATTATTTACATACAACATGAATACCTGTGTTTAAAAAGGATGTAGGGGCTTCGATAATTAATGCAATGTTGGGTGAATTATTCAACTGTAACCCAAAAATAAGACTAAACAGTTGGGAATTTTTTTGGGTGCAAATTTTACTTATTATTTACATCAACCTTCCTATATCTAATTTGATTACAATATTAATTACTCTGGACTCCTTACTTTAAAATTACCATTGTAACTGATTGTTAAACCATAAACAATATGCTGATTGTACAGTGGTACCTCCGAATTTGAATGCTTCAAAATTCGAACAACCTGGAATCCTCATGAAATTTGCCTCAGAATTTAAACGCCACCTTGGAAACTTAACAAATGACATACACCAGCTACACACTACCACACTGTGTCGCCTACACTTCAGTCTGATTTTCATACGATGCGCCAAAACATGTCTCTGCTCATCACCTGATATGATTTTTCCCAGCTAATTTTATGAATGTGTGGTTATTCCAAGATTTTTTGAGTATGCGGTGGAAAACACTAGAAGTTGTTGAGAAGTGGCACCCTGGTAGAGCCCTAGTTAACAAGTGTTTAGCTTAATCAATAAGATTATTGAACATTCAGAAAAATACAAATGGCCATCAACACCAGAGCACTTTTAGACACTGGTTTTCAACAAAAACTAGTGACCTCAAACCCTCGATAAGTTTTGAAAGACCATGATATGAAACACCAGAAAGAATTCCTGGTGTTAACATGGAAGGTGTGACGCTGGCTCTTAGGAAAAACTAGTGACCCCAACCCTCTACAAGTGGTGAATGATTACAATCTCTTCTTCTTTGCGTTCACCAGCTGTAAACTCTGGTGGAAAGTTCTGGTTGTTCATCAACTACTGGACTGCAGTCTTGTTCTAGAACCTGAGTGGTGTGTGCACCAGTTTGACAGATTTGACACTTTTGTGTGCAAACTGTTGTTGCTTGCCTCTCAGGCAGATGCACTCTGCACTTCAAAGGAAGCTGCCAATTAATCGACTCTTACAACATACTTTTGGGTAGGCAGTGGGTCTTATCTTGTTTTCCCTATAATAGGGATCTGGAACCACACAGGGGGAGGGGGGGGGGGCTATGATTTGGATTATGTTCGAATTCCGAGGTAGCACTATATTCGTGTAAATGTACTTTAAATTGATTACAACATGCAGTATGCAAGATTCGTTACTTCAAAACTATCATAGTTAATGCTGATAACGTAAACACTGTTTTAACTATATGTATTTGTATATGCTGCTATTTCTTTAAAAAACAGTTTACTGTGAACTGGGTTGAATTAATTGGTTAAAGGGGCGGGGACCATTCGTCTGGAACAAACAAACAACTGTTGACACAATAACAACCTCAACAATGATTAAACCATTTCGATGATTTTGGACAAATTTAAATAACGTTCTGTCCAGGTTAATAAGCACAACACCTTGATCAGGAACAAGAAAACCAACAAAAAACTGAAGAGATGCTACTAGAAAGAATAACGCAAACTGATGATCGACATAATTAATAACAGGATGTTAGAGATAAGCAATCGACGGCAATAAAATGGCCGTCACAGAATACTTCTTGCTACTGGTTTCTTCTACAACTTTCTTAGCCGTATTTGTCAAGTTCGCGGTCCACTTAAACCAAAACGTTCTAAGACCTGTCAAGTAGGATCCATACTGAAACACTTAAAGACTACAGACGTAGTTTTGACTCACTTGTTGAGGAGCCTGGTCTGAGATGTGATTCCGCAGCTGCAGACAAAAACAACTTGAGTGACCTGACCAGTGTTGCCACTTTTCTTTGACAAAAATATCCAAAACGGTGTCAAAGAATATCTAAAAAGATCTAAATCTGTGTGGACAAGATCTAGAAAAAAACATCCAAATTGAAAAAGTCCAAAATTAAATAGCTTTTGTTATGACTTACTTTACATAATCATGTCCTCACCTTCACTGATGTCTGCCTCACAAGATCCACAGGATAAACTTAGCTTGGATAATGAAGTTGAAGCTTCAGATCCAAAATGACCCTGGTATGCTTTAGCTGTTCAAATCTCTTTGTAAGTGGAACAGTAGGCTTATTTCTCTAGTCTCATCAGGCCGAATTTTAATGGTACTATAGCATTTAAGAGGTCAAATTTCATCCTGTTTTTTAGGTTAGATTTGATATAATTCCTAGCACTGAAAACTATTTCTACGTCAGCATTTGAGTGGGGTAGTATCATGGCACATTAAAGAGCTTATAGAATGGACTGTTTGATGAGGCATCTTTAAATTGTCTCACTTGACTCCAAAACGCTTTAGTTTCTGTTTTGTTTGTCCATTCAGCTAACTTTATTTTGGTTAACTGATATTCTGCTTTCGCGACACTATTATCAGTAGCCCCTAAAAATTTCATAACTTTACAATATTTAGGTATGTCCTTTATTGCCTCTCAGAAAAAAGTGAAATATTTTTCAAAACATCTAGATTTTCAGGAAGTCTCTGCTTCAATTGCTTCGATAATGAGAAAAGGAAATTTTGACAGCGTTTTCTTAAGTTGTTCTCTTCATTCTCTGTTAACAGTCCGTTTGTTTTTAAATCATCAATTTTTGATTCGATTTAATATTCAAGGTGTAGCCAAATAGCTCTCTATAGTGCAAGTGAGCAAATCAGCTTTAGAAATTGGCAACACCAGTCTTTTACCGAGTGAAATAGCAAGGTGAGATCATCAAGTAATTTAACTTTATCAACAAGTTTAGATTCGAACAGTTTATTAACTTTTTGCACTTCCATTAGAATAGGTTATAAAAAGAGAATGAATGACACATTTTTTTCATCACTGTACATTCCATATAGTATTTCAGCTGTGTAGCACTTTTCACTTTGTCTTGTTATTTCAAAGTGTGTCTTCAATTCAGCCATTGTTTCATAATTCTTTCAACAGCTGGTTAAACTGATGACCATCTAGTTTTGCAATCTGACAGAATTTTAGGTGGTGTGGAACCATCATTCAAGGCTGTATATAATGTATTGTATTGCTGTTGTCTAACAAAT